CCACTAATTTGTCATATATTGAAAACAAGAGTACACACCCCAAAAATAATTAAAATCGATTAATACCTATTTGAGTTATATACAAAATTTAAAAAATTTCACGAACTTTGAGGCCATCTAGCTGTCAAATAAAGCGAATTCGGATATAAGTAAATTAGCCTAAATCTGACTATTTCGAGTCCACGGATGATCTACAACTTTTGTATTGGATACTTTTTTGTTTGACGTCAACTTTTGCTAGAAATAGCAATGATACAATTTTTCATAACTTTTCAACCCCCCAAATCAACCCTCCGCCGCCCCTGCTCACGCATTTATTTTTTTTAGGTTTATTATAAGCCCTTTTACCATTTCCACTTATAAAAGTACAGGTAACAATTTTTTTTTCTCCAAGTGTAAATTGGTTGGTCTCCAAAATGCCATGTAATAATATTAGTAAACCAAATATCCCTCTTATTTTTCCCTTTCGCAATTGTAATATGAATGATTAATAGAACGGTGCCTATAATAAATTAAAATTATGTGAATCACATCAAATTCCGCATTGCCGCACTGCCACTGCCAGGCGACTTGTCGACAACTGAATTTAATGACGCAATGGAGAGCAACAGTGCGTATTGCTCTTTGCCCACACGCTCATTATTCAACTGAGCGTATACATTTCTACCACCTGCACGTTTCATTCGACCAGACCTGTATATGGTTATGGCTAAATAAATGTGGGAACAAGTTTTTCAAATATTTCAATGCCGAGTTGCTACTTAGAGACCGAGCCTGGTACATACATTGAAGTTATTGGTTCTTCAATTGACTTCGGAAAAACTATACCAAAGATGAGATACCTTAAAGTACAAAAAAGTTGTCGTTTTTAACACATTCAATCTATTGCAGCTAGCGCCCTCTATGAACTTTAAACAAAATGTGAACAGATTTCAATTCCTCTACTCAAAGAACTCCAATCCCCAAAATTTTGTGAGGATATTTGCATTTGTTAATAAATTAAAAAAAACTGAAATGATATTTTACATTTAACACCCTGTATCTCTTTAAATATCAACTTTTGGACTATGGTAAGTTCGGCTAAATCGCAATATTTTTGCTTGGGGAATCAACCCATAAATTTTGGCCCATTACCGCGGGACCACCCCGTATTTGATTCTCAGATTGGTTTCGCCTGATGTTAAATGTTCATCCAACTTCTGTTTGACCAAACGGTAATACGCTATATGTCTGGGTATTTGATCGAAGCAAATGCGAACATCCCTAAATTCAGGCATATTCCTTAGGTTCCTAGCTTTACGAATGATTTCGTGAACTAAACATTCATCCCTTAAAGAAATTTTAATCGGACGCAGAGAGCCGATAGCAGAATTATACCGTCCAATGCGAGTTGCTTTCAAATTTCGATCCTCTGGTGCAGAGATGGCTCTAAGAATAAGTACTTGCTCTTTGTCCTGTGCAGCTCTAGTCTGCAATTCCGCAGTTGCAGTACCTTGTTCAACTATGCCATACACCACAACATTTGATTTCCTTTTTTGTCTCTCGCTGATTTCCTGAATTATTTCTTCATACTGGTTGTTATCCAAAGTAGAAAAAATCATCTCAGTAGATGATTTCTTCAGTTACAAAATCTCACTCTTTAGCTCCATTAATTATAGTCACCTGCAATGAATGTAAATCAACTCCCAACTCCAAACAGTTGTCACATGTCCATCTTAACCTTTTACTCGAGTTAAGCACTTTAACTTCGTTAGCAGTTAGGTCAACACAATAGGGTTGTTGACCAAATTTCAAAAAGTAGATCATATAATTCTACACGTAGGTACCAATTAGTGTGTATGCACAATTAGTGATTAAGAAATGCGTCAGAACAGTTTTAAAATAATTATTTAAAACTGATTTTTTTATAATATTTCAAAACGGCTGTGACGCCATAAGGGGCACCTTGTAGTGAAATTATGTGTAGATGATTGTGTAAAGGAATAAAATTGGAGGAAGAAGATGCTCTGTCAACACTGTCAGTAGTGTGAGTCTGTCAGTGACATCGTCGCATAAAATATTTTCAAGTCTACGAGTTATATTCCTTAATCATCGAATTCCTTTATTAAGTAAAATTATTATTTAGTAATAATCATTTAATATCTTCCTTCCCTTCGAATTAAAGCAGTATGTGTGAAACAGAATTTGTGAAAGCTACCTCGCAAATTTTACGGAAAATTTATATTTTTATGATCATGAATTGAATTTTTAAAAAGAGACGACCGTTTTAATATTGGCGAAATCAGAGGTATAAAAGCAGTAAGGTAACGATTAACATATTTAATGAATGATNTTTTGTAATTTGACACCTTTGTTTTGAAATTTGACACCGTGTTTTGTAATTTGACACCGTGTTTTGTAATTTGACACCTTTGTTTTGAAATTTGACACCGTGTTTTGTAATTTGACACCGTGTTTTGTAATTTGACACCTTTGTTTTGAAATTTGACACCGTGTTTTGTAATTTGACACCGTGTTTTGTAATTTGACACCTTTGTTTTGAAATTTGACACCGTGTTTTGTAATTTGACACCGTGTTTTGTAATTTGACACCTTTGTTTTGAAATTTGACACCGTGTTTTGTAATTTGACACCGTGTTTTGTAATTTGACACCTTTGTTTTGAAATTTGACACCGTGTTTTGTAATTTGACACCGTGTTTTGTAATTTGACACCTTTGTTTTGAAATTTGACACCGTGTTTTGTAATTTGACACCGTGTTTTGTAATTTGACACCTTTGTTTTGAAATTTGACACCGTGTTTTGTAATTTGACACCGTGTTTTGTAATTTGACACCTTTGTTTTGAAATTTGACACCGTGTTTTGTAATTTGACACCGTGTTTTGTAATTTGACACCTTTGTTTTGAAATTTGACACCGTGTTTTGTAATTTGACACCGTGTTTTGTAATTTGACACCTTTGTTTTGAAATTTGACACCGTGTTTTGTAATTTGACACCGTGTTTTGTAATTTGACACCTTTGTTTTGAAATTTGACACCGTGATTTGTAATTTGACACCTTGGTTTATATATATATATATATATATATAGTTTTTTTATAAAATTAAACAATGAATATTATAATTAGGTTTTGAAGGTGAGGCTAAAAATGAAATTTCAAAATTTTATTGTTTGATCCAAAAATGAGAAATGTCATTGGAAAAAACATTGACTTTTAAGATTACAAACTTGTCTACTTCATTATACTGGTAGCGCTTGAATGAAAATGTTTGTAATATTTTCTTCCTTCATAAAATAATACAAATACGGTAGACAATTATTAAAATGTTTGTAAAACATTAGATTACATATGTTTATGTCTGAAGTTATTTATTTGCGACATAGTTTTCATTATTTTCTTTATTTTTTAGGCATTTTGCCACCTGTGCAAGAATTTTAAAAATTAGTGAAGTAAAACCCTTCAAAAGGATCAGTCAAGGGTTATTTTAATGAAAAACGTTTTACCTAACCAAAAAATCTCACTGAAAAAAAAAACAAATAAAAAAAATAAAGTGATAGGTTTTTCAATTTGTCTGTTTTTTCAGTGAAATTTTTTGGTAAGGCAAAACTTTTTCATAAAGATAACCCTTGACTTATCTGTTTGGTGAAAATTTTTTAACAGGTGGCAAAATTTCAAAAAATAAAGAAAAAAACATGTTTTGTTTATACCTAACTTGAAGAAGGGACAAACTATGAGAAAACACACATTTGCATTACAACTGGTTGTCTGGTGGGCTGCCTCAACTGGTGTGACTGAATGCATACTGTGCATGTGAAATCTGATTTTATAAACAAACCTTAAACCGAAGAGATAACTATAATCAGAGGTAACTATATCAAATATTAGCATTTGTTGAAGTTTCTAACGAATTTTTTGAACTTTCACTTGACAACATTTTACCACTTTATGTTTGTAAAGTATGAAGTAGGCAAACAATCTACAAGAACTTCAGTCAAATTTCCACTGGTTGGTATCTACACAGTCAGTAGATGGTAATATTTTTGTAATAACCATTTTACCTGTATCCTTGTAGGTACCTACCTCTTTAGTACTACAAATTATATTACAGTAAAAATTTGAAAAATATGGGTTTGTCAAGCCAAGTAGAATGATAGAAATTTCACACAAGAATACTACAAAGAGGTTTACACATAATGATTAATGTACTTTTACTGATATTTTTTCCTCATCTTAAGAAAATTACGTGAAATTAAAATAAAACTGAACTCTATTATTTGCATGACCTTTTTGACCTATATTTTAAATTTTGTTATTTACTTGTTTTTCTCTTTTATTGTTTTGTTAAACCCCATTTGTTTATATTTCTTAGTGTATATCATATTCAATTGTCTGAAATGTGTCAATATGTCAATTGTCTGAAATTATACGACATTGGAATATCTCGAAAAACTAATAACTTTTTTCTGTGCATAGAAAGCTTTTTTCTTTGAAATACCACTAGGAATCCATTCTGGGGTTCTTTTTGCATAATTGTATCCAAATTCAGTACAATTTTACTATTATTGATGTTAGTTTTTTTTTATTTAACCTAAGGACCAACTTAATTTTTTTTTATCTATTTAGGACACCATATAAACTAATAAGAGATAATAAACTAATGAGACAAAACAAACTTAATGAGTAAACTTGGAAACTGTCCAAGTTAGAGAGTAACTATTGAAGTTATCACATTAATAACTACTCTACTACAGGTATCATTCATCACTATATACCCATAAAATGGAGAGACGGGTAGCTATGGTTTGTGGTATTATTTTTTTTTTTTTTATAAAACTGGAGCCAAAAAGCATAGTTTTCTTCTCTCTCGCATGGTTTGCAAAATAATAAGAGATCATTCTTACAAATTTTCTTTTCTTTTCAATATTTCTACACTTAAGATTCATTAAAATAGGCTCAACTTAGCTTTTATTTATTACAGAAAATATTCATAAACTCACCTGTGGCTGTGATATTCCCCAAGGATCTGTCGCAGGAAGATCTGCTAAGTTAATATCTAACAAATCTACCATTGCATTTGATGGTTTTTCTTGAGTTGATCTGGATAATAAAAATACATGTTAACACTATGATGACTTATTATAAGTTTGTAAGTATAGAGGAATAGATAGTCAGTCCATCAATTTTTCCGAAATGTGTAAGACGCAGAGGATTAAAATTTTATGAATGTGAATTGTATTTTTTTTTTAATTATTAGTATTCTCTTGTTTTTTTATATGTTGTTACTTCCCTCACGCACAAATATTTACTTATGTGAATTTTTGTGTTTATTTTACTACGTATTAAATTGTTAGCTAACAAATAAGATAAGTGTAAAGTATTGTTGTTTCAAAAATAAGCAATATTATATAATATCTTATTAAAAATCGACAGCTTGGTTGACGGCCATATTTGTTGGCAGTGGTGGCTCATGGTAATGTAATTAGGTCGATAGGTCACCAAGCATTGGAATAACACTTTGTAAAAATTTTACGAAATGCAAATCCTTTAAAATTGTAATTTCTCAATTTTTCTGCATCTTTTTAAAATTACATTAAAATTAAGTTAGCTAAATAAAATGGTGTCTATAAATTGCAGGAGTGCAACCGCGCGTCGGGCAGTGCGAACAATAAATTTCAACTTTGAGATATGTACGTAAATTATGTGTTACGTGTCAAAAAATTTAAATATTGTTAATTTAAATAATTTTCATTAAAGCTTTTAATTCATGTTTTTTTTTTAAGAAAGTCTGTTCTAGACTTGATAATTTTTGTTGTAGGTTTAAATCAATAATATTTTTGTGTTACCTAAACATGTTCTATTGTAGTTTCTCCTAAAGAAGGAATAATCTATTCTGAAAACTCGAGCAATAAAAATGAAATTACATTTTTGTGTTGGCTTTGGCATACCCGATTATACTTTAAGATTTTGTTCCTTAACATAGACAGTCTATTCACAAAATATATATACAGGGTGATCCATTAACAGTACGGAGCGGCTGTATATAGGAAACTCGATGTGCTACGATTATGGAGTAAAAAATCTATTAAAAAATACGGCCAAAAAAAATTGATTTAAAATATTTTCAAGTTTGTAACTTGTTATACCCTTCATAAGTTTTGTTTGAACTTTTCACTTGTTATTACCATATCAACCCCAGTATAAAGGACGCCATCTTGAAAGTCTTAAATGTAACAACTTCTAAACGCCTTAATGATTTCAAGAAATGACATCTCATTTTAAAGAACTATTAATAAAATTTATTTTTATGATATGGGTATATACAGGGTTTCCCGAAATTCGTGCAACAAAATTTGGTCATAGATTCTTAAGACGAATTTAGGGGACCCGTATTTCTTATTTTTGCCAAGTGGCCCCCTCTTTCGGAGTTACAGCCCCCTGAAGTCCGCCTCTAAGACTAATCTTTTTTTCATATCTCAGAATTCTATTGTACGAGAATAACTAAATTTGGTACACAGGGATTTTATGACTTGTGGAATCTGATGGTGCTACGTTTTTTGGCGGGGAACCCCCTTAAGACAATTTTTCGTGGGCCCCTTCGTCTTTGGAGCCAAAAAAATTTGGTTGCATATTTAAATTTCGTAAAAATTATCAGTCCACTAGAAAGCCATTCAATTTAGAAACTTTTTGTCTCTTTATACTTTTTTCTTAAACGCAATGTTTTCGAGAAAAAAGTCAAAATGCGATCAAATATATATCATGATTCGCCATTTTCCTCAAAAACATTGCGTTTTACGAAACAAATATCAAGAGAGAAAATAGTTTTTAAATTCAATGGCTTTCTAGCTAACTAATAAATTAAAAAAAAATCTAATTTGCGACCAAATTTTTTTGTTTCCAAAGACAAAGGGGGCCCACAAAAAGTGTCTTAAGGGGGTTTCTCGCCAAAAAACGTAGCACTGTGAGATTCCACGTCATAAAACCTCTGTGTACCAAATTAAGTGATTCTCGTACAACATGGTTTTGAGACATAAAATAGACTTCTTACGGGCAGATTTCAGGGGGCTGTAACTCCGAAAGAGGGGTCCAGTTGGCAAAAAGAAAAAATACGGGTCTCCTAAATTTGCCTTAAGAATATATGACCAAATTTTGTTGCATGAATTTCGGGACACCCTGTATAAAAATATTACTTTTCTGTGCAACGGTAGACGACGCTAATCAGAAATGTTTGTAATTGTCTCCGTTTACTAAGAAAATTAAATGAAACGATATAGATTTTTTTTGTTTTCAAGTTATTATATATATATATATATATTGTTGTGTTGAATGTTGTTTTATGTGTTAGTTAAAATTTTATGTATGAATGTCCAATTTTGGAAATTAATGTTTTGAGTACGTTTTGAATAGCCCCTGTATATGTGTGTCAATAAAGTATGTTATGTGTAGTGTAGTATATATGTTAAAGAAGTAAATACAATTCACAAGTCTTATATTTACCTGTTAATGCTTAAATGGCCTCTATTATACACTTTATTTTTATTTTATTTTTATGTGAGCAACTCCCTCAAGCAGGAGGCGGGTTCAATATTTCATTCAAACAAGAATCTACTTATTTCTTTGGCATAAATTTAGTTTATCTCATTATATAGATTTTCCTCAAATATCACACATGGAATAATAAATAAATCGGATAATTTTAACAAGTGTCAGCTATATTTACTACAATGGATGTTCAGATATACAGTTATACAAATTTTCTTAATCTAGACTTATATTAGAATTAGAATTTGAGATCTCTTTATTTATATTACTTTTCAATTTTGATTGGTTAAATGAAACTTTTGTTTTTAAATTTGTTAAAATTTGTTTTAAATATCTTTCTTTCATTGATCATCGTTTTTTTAAATATGTGGCCAATAAAATACACCCCTTAACTGCAGTTAAATAAAATGGTCTACCTTGTATTTTGAAATTTCAAAGTTCTCAGACGATCTTGAAGTTGGCAGGCCTGCTGAACTGGAACTAGACTTTCTCGTTGTTTTCTGCCATTAACTCGTTCTGAGACAGTCAGATTCTCCTCCGTTCCATTTATTCC